TGGAAGTGTTCCTTCCTCTTGGATTTTTTGGAATAATCTGAGGAGGATAGGTTTTAGTTCTTCCTTGAATGTTTGGTAAAACTCTCCTGTGAAGCCATCTTGCCCTGGGCTTTTGTTTGCTGGAAGTTTTTTGATGACTGTTTCAATTTCTTCCCAAGTCACTGCTCTATTGAGATTTTTAGATTCTTCCTGATTGAGTTTTGGAAGGTTGTATTTTTCTAGGAATATGTCCATTTCCTCCAGGTTGTTCAGTTTTTTGGAATAGAGTTGTTCGTAGTATTTTTTAACAATTTTTAAGTTGTTCGTAGTATTTCGGCGGGGTCTGTTGTTATTTCACCTCTTTCGTTTCTGATTTTGTTTATTTGGGTCCTCTCTCTTTGTTTCTTGGTTAGCCTGGATAGGGGTCCATCTATCTTGTTTATTCTTTCAAAGAACCAGCTCTTGGTTTTGTTGATCTTACGTATTGTTTCTTTGGTCTCTATGTCGTTTATCTGTGCTCTGATTTTTGTTATTTCCTTCCTTCTGCTTACACTGGGCTTTTCTTGTTGTTCTTTTTCTAACTCTTTTGAGTTGTAGAGTTAGATCATTTGTTACCCTTTTTTCTAGTTTTTTGCAATAGGCTTGTAGGGATATGAACTTCCCTCTCAAAACTGCTTTTGCTGTGTCCCATAGATTTTGGATAGTTGTGTTTTCATTGTCATTTGTTTCCAGGATGTTTTTAATTTCTTCCTTGATTTCTCTGGTAACCCAGTCCTTCTTTAATAGCATGCTGTTTAATCTCCATGTGTTTGATTTCTTTGGATTTTTTTCGTTGTAGTTAATTTCCAGTTTTATGCCACTATGATCTGAGAAGATGCTTGATATGATTTCTATCTTCTTGAATTTGAAGAGACTTTGCCTATGTCCCAAAGTGTGGTCTATCTTTGAGAATGTCCCATGTGCGCTTGAGAAGAATGTATATTCTGTGGCTTTGGGGTGGAATGTTCTGAAGATGTCGATTAATTCCATCTGGTCTAGCGAGTCCTTTAGGATTGATATTTCTTTGCTGATTTTTTGTTTAGATGACTTGTCAAAGGGTGACAGTGGGGTATTAAGATCTCCTACTATGATTGTATTGCTATTAATCTCTCCCTTAATGTCCTCCAGCAGTTTTTTTTATATATTGGGGTGCTCCCATATTGGGTGCATATATATTTACCAGGGTTATTTCTTCTTGTTGGATTGCTCCCTTTAGTATTATGAAGTGGCCTTCATTATCTCTTGTTATGTCCTTCACTCTGAGATCTAACTTGTCAGATATAAGTATTGCTACCCCAGCTTTTTTTTCATTTCCATTTGCCTGGAAAACCTTTTTCCATCCCTTCACCCTCAGTCTGTGTGCATCTTTTTTTCTGAGGTGGGTTTCTTATAGACAACAGATATATGGGTCTTGTTTTCTTATCCAATCTGTTACCCTATGTCTTTTGATTGGAGCATTTAGTCCATTTACATTTAAAGTTATCATTGATAGATACTTATTTGACGCCATTTTTATTCTATACCCCTGTGTTCCTTCTTTGCTTTCTATTTCTTTAATTTTACAGTAGACCCGTTAGCATTTCTTGCATTGCTGGTTTGGTGGAGATAAATTCCCTTAGTCTGTTTTTGTCTGTGAAGCTCCTGATTTCCTCTTCAATTTTGATTGATAGCCTTGCTGGGTACAGTATTCTTGGATTCAGACCCTTCCTTTGCATGACTTTGTATATTTCATCCCATTCCCTTCTGGCCTGATAAGTTTCTGTGGAGAAATCAGTTGCTAGTCTGATGGGGGTTCCTTTATATGTAACTTTCTGTCTCTCTCTGGCTGCTTTTAAAATTCTTTTTTTGTCGTAGGTGTTTGCCAGCTTAATTATAATGTGTCTAGGGGTTGATTTTCTGGGGTTCAATTTGCTTGGGACTCTGCGAGCATCTTGGATTTGTGTGGGTTTTTTCTTCTCTATCTCAGGAAAGTTTTCTGTCATTATTTCTTGAAATACGTTTTCCATGTCTTCCTCAATTCCCTTTCCTTCTGGAACCCCTATTACTCTAATATTGTTTTGTTTTGTATTGTCCCAGAGTTCCCTTAGACTTTCCTCCTGTTTTTTAATTTTTTTTTTCTAGAAGCTGTTCTAATTGGGTATTTTTTTCCATCTTGTCTTCTAGCTCACTGATGCGGTCCTCTGCTTCTTCTAATCTACTCTTGATGCTTTCTATTGAGTTCTTTACAGTAGCGATGTCATTTTTCATTTCTTCTTGGTTCTTCTTCATTTCCTCTTGGTTCTTACTCATATTGTCAAATTTGTCTTCCATTCTTTTTAGCCATCTTATGATCATTACTCTGAATTCTTGCTCTGGTAGATTGCTTCCCTCTATCTCGTTTACTTCCTTTTCTGGTGAGGCCTGCTTTTCTTTCATATGCGGGCTGTGTCTTGGTCTCCTCATGATCTAGGATGTCTGGTTGTGTAGTTCTCTCTCTCCTGCTTTGATTTAAAGGCACCAAATACAACACAACCAGGTACAACACACAGGGGACTGAATCGGGATGTGTTTGAAATATTAATAACCACCAATAAGGGTGACTAGAACCCAGCTAGCAAAAACATACAATCAAACAAAAAGCATATCAAATCAACTTATAAACAAAAGCATACAACTTCAGTATAGTTAACATTCAACATACAACTTCAAAGTGTTAGAGAGAATGACTTTTGTTTTGTTTTGTTTTTAGGACAACTGCGAGGGAGGTGTGAATGGGCTCGGAGCAAGTAGTTGGAGATTAGATATATAGAAGTAGGGTGAAATTTTAGGAGGGGTTAGACAGAAGGAATGGGGAAAATCTAGAGCAGGAAAGGGTTAAGATAAACGGGGTACCAAAGGAAAATATTGGAAAGAGGGTGAAGGCATAAAGGATAGGATGAGATAGAATAAAGCGTTGGAGAAGGAAAGATAGATAAAGCCTGTAGAACAGTAATCCTGAAATAAAAAAATATATATATATATAATCAAATGAAATAAAAATAATAAAAATAAACAAAAAAAATAAGATGAAAAAGGTAACTTAGTAGTAGTACAATGTAGTAATTATAAAGATAAAATCAAGTGAGGAAAAGGAAAAAAAAATAGTTTCTTGAGTAAACATTGCAAATAATGAAAACAAAAATAAAAAACAAAAATTTAAAAATTAAAAAAAGTGATAAAATTTAAAAAAAATTTAAATAAAATTTGCAGTAATGAAGGTCATTCGCTTCCTCTATTGTTATGATCCAGTCCTGATTTTTAGGCAGGTTTTGCTTTGTTTTTATTACACTAGAGTCAATTTGTGAATTAGCCTCTGGGGGCAGTGTTTCTAGGTTGACTTCCCAGACTCTAGAGCCTCTCCAGCTTTTTTTTTTTTCCCCTGTCCTCTCTGAAGCAGGAACTATAGAGGTAGGAGGGGGCAGGGCCGAGCAACCTCAATCTCCTGCAACTCTCCGATACCCCTCCGCGCCAGATCCAAATGCGTTGCTCTTTAGATATCTCCCCTGTTAGGAGCCCCGTCCACTTTCACGGGTGACACTCGCCCAACAGCTGGGGCTTCTACTTGTAATCACCGCCCTTGTCCTCCAGCTTCCGCGCGCTCTGTGCGCGCAGGCTTTGTTTTCGCTGCGAGTGCGCTCCACCCTCTCCCCGCGAAATCTGACCTTTTCGCGGAGCAGTGTGGCACTCCTGTGGGGCCAGGTGTTTGCGCTGCCTGGGATCCCCGTTCTGGGGGTCACAGTTGCTTGTTGGTCGCTGCGGCTGTTGATATTCAGGCCTCTGACACGATCCTATCTTCCTCTCAAGATGGCGAGGTTTCCCTATCCAAGCCAGTAGGTAGCTCCGGGCAGGGAAGTAGCCCGCGTGGGTGCTTCCCTGTGAGGGGTACCTCTGTCAGCAGCCCCCCAGCAGTTTCTTCTGGTGTTCGCTGTCTCCCAGCTTGCTAATAAACACTCACAGCTCAAGACCATCAGTTGCTCTCTCTTTCTGCTTCGGGAGAGGGCTCAGAATCCGCCCATCTATTCTTCCGCAATCTTCCCTCCTCGAAAGAAAGATTTATGTTAATGAATTGGCTCATATAATTATAGAAGCTTTCTAAGTCCAAAATTTGCAGAGTGATCTAGCAGCATGGGTACCCAGGAAAGAATTGCAGTTCAAGTCTGAAGGCAGTCTGTTGGCATAATTCCTTTCCCAGGAGGTCAGTCTGTTTTTATTAAGGCCTTTCTTCAGCTGATTGGATGGGACCCACCAACATTATGAAGACTAATTTGTTTTACTCAATGTCTACTAACCTAAATGTCCTCACAGAAACATCTAGAACAAGCATATCAAACTCTCGATCCATGGGCCGCATGCCTCATTTATTTGTTAGCCTTTGTTTTTGACATGCTTGATCTAGAATAATGTTTGACTCAATATTTTGGAACTGTGGCCTAGCCAAGTTGACCACCAGAGTAGGAAAAATGGGGAATAAAGAATAATGAACTATTTCTCCCATTTCTGGTTCCATAAATCAAGAAAGTACTCTGATTTGTCCAACTGGGTGAGGTACCTACCACTGGACCAAACAACTTTAGTCAGGACTGGCATCTGGGGAAAGGATTGTAATCATCCCAGCTCATGTGTAATGCCCATGCTGGGCCAATCCATTCTGGCCAAGGAAGGAGTAGAGGCAGGGTTACCTCATATAAAATATAATATTAATCAAGTACAAAAGAAGGTGTTCCTTAAGTGGGAAATAACTCATTAAGAACTTACAAATGTAACTTTCTAATGTTAACACATTTTCCCATTTAATGATGAAATAGCTCTAATTTGTTTTACAATGCTCTCAATGTAATTTAGTTATGGTTATCTGACTGTTTACAATCATGTATATAAAATATTGTGGAGAATAGTGTCTCCCACTTGATTTAAGTACCTAAAATCGATTTCTTTTTCTTTTTTCTCTAAATGTTTTTTTCTAGTTTCACCTGTGGACAGAAAGCAGAACCTTTCACTGGTAACACATCCTGCAGAAGGTAATACATTTTTTTTTTCTCTAGAGGCCAGTACTGAAGGAATGGAGTGTTGAACTTCCTTAGAAACATAGTGAATGGTCTGGTCTGAGGGCCAGCCTTTTCCTAGCTGAAGAATATGGTGATCTCAATGCTGTGGGGTGAGGGACCCAGACTGACCCTTCCTCTCAGCCCCCAAACCCCCAAACCAATTGAATTCCATTGGAAAATCGTGGAGCTTTCTCTATCAGGCATTCGTCTAGGCTTTACTGGGAACACAAAGATGAGCAAGATGAGTAAGACTATGGGAGAGCCCCCAGGGAGCTCAGTTTTAGGGGATCACACACCTGGGCACAGCTGTCATACCAAGTGTGCCAGAGTCTAGAGGAGGGACCTATGAGCACCAAGGCTCAGAGAGGGCTTCACAGGGGCTGTATCACGGGAACTGGGTCTTAAAGGAAGAAGAGTATTAGAATAAAAACGTCAAAAGATTTACACGTTCTGAAAAGAAACACTAGAGAAAGGAGTATTATAATAGCCAAGAACGTTGTGTAGGGCATGCCAGACCACAGGTACATGTGAGGAAAGACACAGAAATGCTTGGAGTTTTTGTGCTTGGAGTTTTCTTTCTGAAGTCGGGGAGCAATGTAGGGAGTGACTGATTGGAAGGTGAGTCATTTTGAAAAAGAGGGCTTTCAAAGCCACACAAAGGCATTTAAATGTTTTCTTCAGGCAATGAGAGATCTCTGAAGAATCTCAGAGTTGAGTGAATCAGACCTGTGTTATAGAATGATGTACCTGGTTGCAATGTAAGGTATGAATTGAAAACAGGAAAGTTTTGAGACAGAGTTAGAATTAAGAGGCTTTTGAAATATCTGGATGAATTGTGATGGAGATTTAAACTAGTGTAGTGACCGGCAAATTCATTAGTCAACAGTGCCAAATATCAACAGTACAACAATTGAAATTTCTTTTGAGAGTCAAATTTTTTAAACTTAAACTTCTTCTAATGCCACTTATTCAAAATAGACTCACCCAGACCATGGTATTTTGTGAAAGAGCCACAATCAAGGGGCCAAAGAGCCACATGTGGCTCGTGAGCCGCAGTTTGCTGACCACTGAACTAGGGGATAGTAGCTTGGTGAGACTGGGAGATATTTATAGACAAAGGATTCAGAAAAAATAAGATATGACAGCTGGTTCTGGGATAAATATGGGAATCTACACTCTCCCCTCTCAGTGAAATAGGAAGTGAAATCACCCTAGCTGATTACAGGAGCGATTAGAGAATAATAAAGATAGACAACTGTCAAACCCACTGAGTTAGAACTATCATTATAAAGGAGATGGCGATTATTTGAAAGTTGTATAATGGAGGAAGGTGAAAGAACATAAAATACTGACCATACTTAGATTCCTTGCCATTGGAGTTAATACTTTGGGAACTTGGCCCTGTTAAAATTCATATGTTTATATGATTACCTAATACTTTCTTTGAAAAAATAGAGTCAGATCTGAGGATAAAAACAATAAGCCTTATAGTGTTTACAAACTAAATTTCAAACTTAAATGACCTGGCCCATACACCTTCACTGAGAGCCTTTAAATTTGTGTCTTCACCAGTCTCTTTTCTTTCTATTTTTATCTTCAGCATCTTTCCCTTGTGCACATGTAGCTTACCCACATCTAACTCTAGTGGTTCCCAACAAGCCAAGTGTTAGATAAGAAACATTGTACCTTGTGGAGTTTCAGATAACCATATTTGGGACTGAAATAAATATCTTTTTAAATTCCATATTTATCTGCATCTCAGATTTGCTTTAAAATCGTCCTTTTCATCATCTAGTTAAGTGATCTTTATTTGGCTGTGAAATTCAAAGGCTTGAGTACTGCGCAGAAGAGGAGAGAGATTAACCAGAGTTTAGCAGAAGCAAGCTTCACTCAAAAATTTTGCCCCACCACACAGGTCATGTTAAAGTGATGAAATTCCTGACACTTCTGTTACTGGTGAGCTGTAACAGGCACACCTAGTCACCTCTCAGCAAACGCTTACCAGTCATGGACACATTATGCCAATTTATGGGGAAAATGTGAGCTTCCCTGTTGAAAAATACTTGAAGGTTGCAGGACTTTTTGTTTTAAAAAATGAACAAAAGAAGTCAATTTCTATATTTAATCCTCATTATTGGAATGATTTATGGCAACAAAATCTGTGAAAAAAATTATAGTTGATCTCTTTGGGAGTGTGTGCAATTAAAAGGAAGGAAGGAAGGAAGGAAGGAAGGAAGGAAGGAAGGAAGGAAGGAAGGAAGGAAGGAAAGAAGGAAGGAAGGAAAGAGGGAGGGAAAGGAGGAAGGGAAGGAGGGAGGGAAGAAGGAAGGGTTTGTTGAATTTGCTGACTTTTTGATTCTCAAAAAAAAAAAAAAAGAACTTTAAAATTTTCTAGCTTGCTTAATTCGAATGCCATCTAAGTTATTTTTATAACATTTAATTTTCATATTTATTTTTGTCTGAAGTGCCACCCTCAGAGATAAGCATTCAGATTTGATATTACTAATTCATTATCTCTCATAAAACCTAGAAGAATACAACCACATCACTAATTATTTCATTGTCTACCCCAATGAGCATAAGGTATAAAATAAATAAAATAGTCTCTGACCAAAAGATTCATTGTGTTTCTTTTTAAGTTGAGAATTGCATTTTCTTATTTTTTTCATAGATACTGACACTTTGAATTAATTTCAAAATACTTAAAAATTTTTTCACACATGTAATATTCACTGTTTACCTAATAACATAATATAGGAGAAAATGAGTTAATCTTTGAATTAGGTTTAACATGTTATATACACCTTGTGAATGTTTAATTCTTTAAGTCTCATAGTTTTCGAATAAAACCACCAGCCAAGTAAGGGCTAGTACAACTTTATGTAATATGATGTAGAAAATGTAACACATGAAGTTCTTACCAAGCTTTTCTTTTTTATTCTTCGTGTGTGTGTGTGTGTGTGTGTGTGTGTGTGTCCAGCTAATACTTTCCTGCCTGTACTGGTGGATACAAAGGCTGTGCTCTCTTGCCCTCATATCGTGTTGACAAATGCGCTTTTAACAATTTGGGAAATAACCCTCGGAGACAAGCCTTTCTGCATCAGAACCCACAGGAGAGACACAAATGAGACCATAGAAACAAACTGCACTGACAAGAGAATGACCTGGCCCGACAGACCTGACCAGATTCCTGCCCTTCAGATTAACCCAGTGGCCATCACTCATGAGGGGTATTACAGGTGTGCAGTGGTAACACCTGATGGGAATTTCCAGAATAACTATCACCTCCGAGTGCTAGGTAAGGAACACTGTACATTGGGGTGATTCAGAAAACCAGATTTGGGACTTAAAGGAATTCCTCTCTAAATTCCATGTCTAATGTGTTAGGACTAAAGCATTTACTTCTTCATTCCTGCAGTGGCCCCTGAGATGACTCTGTTTCAAAGCGAGAATAGAACTGCGGTGTGCAAGGCAGCTGAGGGGAGGCCAGCTGCCTGGATCTCCTGGACCCCAGCAGGAGACTGTGTCCCTGAGCACATAGATTGGGGCAATGGCACAGTGACTGTCCAGAGCATGTGCCACTGGGCGGATGGCAATGTATCTGTTGTGTCCTGCTCTGTCTCCCATGAGACTGGCAACTGGAGTCGGTCCATAGAGCTGAATCAAGGTAAGTAGTTCTAGTTTTTATTTTCTTTTGTTTTGTTAAATATATTTTATTGATTTTTTTTTACAGAGAGGAAGGGAGAGGGATAGAAAGTTCGAAACATCAATGAGAGAGAAACATAGATCAGCCACCTCTTGCACACACCCTACCAGGGATGTGCCCGCAACCAGAGTACATGCCCTTGACCAGAATCGAACCTGGGACCCTTGAGTCCAAAGGCCGATGCTCTATCCACTGAGCCAAACCGGTTTCGGCTCTAGGTTTTGTGATTTTCCATTTTTCAGAGGAGTTGTGGGAAGAAGGGAAAAGGAGTTTGTAGAGAATTTCTCCCAAGGGTGTTCTCTCCACTTTCTGTGTTATCTCCTTCTCTTACACCAAGTAAGCGGGATATCAAGGAGAATAGTACAGAAATTTCTTATAAGAAGCCATATTTTAAAAGAATGAGGTATATTATTTAATAATTAAAATAAAAAGAATTTAATATTCACTTCTATTTAGTGGTAAATTGGCTTGAGTAGTGTACTTTTAAATGAATATCTATGTTTATAGTAGAGGGGTAATTTATAATCTTAAACATAATCTTATACTTTTACTAGAAAGATAAAGTCACCCATAACTTTTCTTTACAAAATTTTAGTGTAGTAGAATTTTTTTTTTCTAGGCCAATGTTCAGCAAACTCATTAGTCAACAGAGCCAAATATCAACAGTACAACGAATGAAAATTTTTTGGGAGCCAAAGTTTTTAAACTTAAACTATATAGGTAGGTACATTGTTATTAACTTAATTAGGTACTCCCAAGCTGGCCTTAGCTAAAAACTCAAGGAGTCAAAGAGCTGCATGTGGCTCACGAGCCTTAGTTTGCCGACCACTGCTTTAGGCTCTTTCTAGAATTTCTTAATTATATTGTTGCTAATATAGCCATAGTTTACATTATTTTGAATATGTAACTTTGTTAAGTGCTAAGTCAAAAAAAGCTCATACGTTCTTATTTTGATTTATTAGGTAGTCCATCAGGCCATTTTTTTCTTGAGGCATCCCTACTTGAGGCTTTTCATGCTCTTGTTCTAATTTGGCCTGATTGGCTGCTAGACCTGCTGCACAGCTATTGTCCTGGACGTTCTCTTTGCCTGGATCCTCTGCTGGAACCGTGTCTGTTTAACCCAAGTTCCTTTTTCCTTCCAGATATTTGCTAGTTTTACTCTCTTTCTTTCACATGTGAGGCATTTCTCAACTCTCTGGTAATCCTTCACTGTTGATTCATTTCAAAGCGTGCATTCAAAAGTGAGCTGATTGGAAGCTCTGCTCTCTGAGGCTGAGCTTGCCAAATAGTTCATTTCATTAGGGTGAAAGGTGGTAAATAATTTTTTTTTAAATTGGGGATTCCTTAGTTACCTGAAGGTCTTTACTCTGAGGCTGTTCAGGTTCTGCAGAAAAATAACTCCAGTCTCTTTGTTTTAGAGGGATAACCCTGACTGCTGTCATTTTTCTGGGAGCAGGGAAGAAGAGGTGTGTGTGTGTGTGTGTGTGTGTGTGTGTGTGTGTGTGTGTGTGTCTGTGTGAGTGACTTCCCTTTAATAACTCTCTGAAGCCTGGCACCTCATCTCTACCCTCCATTATGTTTGGATCTTTGACTCTGGAGTCTCACCAGTTCATCTTCTCTGGGTAAAACTTCTGTTCTTTGCTGATTGGGGAAGGGTAGTGACCTGCTGCACAGGAAGAGGGGATACTTGGTAGCTACCTGTCCTCATGCAGACTTTCAAAGAGGCCTCCAGCTTTTGGCCCACACTTGCCCAACTCTTTCCTCTATATTTAGTCCTTCCTGTTTTAGAATTTTCCTGAAGTTCTATGGGCATTAGGATTGTCACTTATTTTATTCTGAATTATTTGCCATTCTTCTGTTTACTTTTAAAAAATCTAAAAACAATTTGAAATCTGTCATCTTCTCTTGACTTCATCCATGTTTTCTTTGTCTTTGCATATATACTTTTAAAATTTTTATTTACTTATGTTTTAATACTTTTTAAGAAAAGAGGAGTGACAAACCCGTGTTTGAACAGCCACTTCTTAATATCCATTTTTAAAGTGTGATTTGTTTTTTATTTTAAGGAGTTTAGCAGTATTTACTGAGAAGAGTAACTGCACCCTGTTTATTAATGATGCACAACCATGCACTAGTACAATATGATGTCATATTTATAGAATCTCAGAATTGAAGGGGCCAGCTAGGCCACTCCCACACCATGCTGGGATCTCCTGCGTCTTCCCTGCTGGGAGCCCTTCAACCTCTCTTGGTACACTTCCAGGGAAAGAGAGTGCAGTGAAAAGAGAGGGTTTCAAAACAATGTTATTTTAAACTGTAAAACCAAATGTTTCTACTTCTAATGGAATACTGAGAAATCCAGTGTTTAAAAACAAACATCATGTAACATATAGAAATCCACACATGAAACCTTAATGTTCATTTTGACCAAAGTCACCCCAATCAATTTAATAAATAGAATAAAAAAAAACTCCAACCAACAGTTTAAAGAAGGTAGAGGGATTGGATGCCAGCCTGCTCAGCCTTCAGTTCACCTCCCTCTGCTGTCCCCAGCCCGTTCACCCAATGCCAGGAGCAGTCTCAAAACAACTGCCTCGCAATTCCTTTGTTGACTTGTCCTCTGTCAGATTGAGCAGTGCTCTACTGCCAACAGTTAATACACAACTTAAAGTTGCTGCCCTACATTCATTTTATTTTATTTTTTATTTTTTATTTTTTAAATATATTTTATTGATTTTGTACAGAGAGGAAGGGAGAGAGATAGAGTTAGAAACATCGGTGAGAGAGAGTCATCAGTCAGCTGCCTCTTGCACACCCCCTACTGGGGATATGCCCTTGACTAGTATGGAACCCGGGCCCCTTCAGTCCCCAAGCCAACGTTCTATCCACTGAGCAAAACCGGTTTCGGCCTTACCTTCATTTTAGTTTGAATGCCCTAGTAGAAAGGTGGCTTCAAAATTAGGGTCGTTTTTCCAACTACCTTCATTACAACTTCCTGTTTATTTCTGAATCTTGCAGATAAGAAACACTGCTATTATTATAACACAGAGATCAACATTTTACATTTCTGCTTATAGCAACTCATCATTCACAACTAGGAACTCTAAAGTCTTAATTGATAAAACAACTTTATTATAAAAATTATTAATGATTAGTGGGTCAGAAGTGTTTAAAATAAAAAAGAAATGAATTTTATGTACAGTGCAACATCCTTGAAACATATTGTATAGGAACTTTATTTTAACTGATTTTTATTTTTTAGAGTAGTTTTAGGTTCATAACAAAATTGAGTGGAAAGTACTGAATTCCTATGTACGTCCTGCACCAACATATGCACAGCATGCCCCCTATCTACACCCACACACTGCAGTGGTAAATTTGTTATAAAAGATGAAGCTACATCACACATCATTGTCATCCAAAGTCTGTCATTTACATTAGGGTTTAGTCTAGGTGTACATTCAATGGGTTTTAACAAATGTATGAATGACATGTATTCACCATTGTAGTACCATACAGAGGAGTTTCACTGCCCTAACAATCCTCTCTGCTCCACCTATCAGTTCTCTCTTCACCCTAACCTCTAACAACCCCTGATCTTTTTACTGTCTCCATCATTTTGCCTTTTACAGGTATGGCTGGAATCATATCAGAGTAGCCTTTTTAGATTGGCTTCTTGCACTTAGTAATATGCAGTTAAGATTCTTTTCTGAATTCTCATGCCTTAATGGCTCATTTCTTAAATGCTGAATAATATTACAGCATGTATTTTTGTGTCTATATATACAGGTGCCAAAACATCAAAAACCCTAATTATTCTATATAGCATCCTTCCTGTTATTATCTTGGTCATCGTGGGATTCGTTTGGCTTTTGAAAATCATTGGCTGCAGCAGGTATTGACAGATGTTCTTTTCTTCTTCAGCTTTATTGGGCTAGGAGGGGGTCAGGAAGAGGATAAAATTAAGATGTTAACATCTTTTATCCCATATTCTGAATGTGTTAGACTTGGACTATTCTGAATGATGAGAGGGATTTGCTGGTTTAGCTAGGCATGCAAGCATAGTGAATTAGGCCTTTTGGGGCAGGACTTTGGGAGAGATTGTGCATGCTAATTTACTACTTGGGAAAAGAATTACCATAGTTATTTAATGTACCAAAGAGCAGCATTTAATGTAATGCTGTTGCATAATTTTACTCCCTTTTCCCAAATCCAGAATTACCTTGTTTGGGTGTAGTTACTACAAGAAGCATTCTTCACTCATTTCTGACTTAGTATCACCTCTATCAAAATGAACCATAAGTGTCAATAGTATACTATTTTGTGTTTTTATTTTCAATATAATAACATTTATTGTAATTTATTCCAACTTATATTTATTTTTACAGAATATATAAATTGAAAAAAACAGAACCTACTCCAGGTGGTGAGGAGGTAAGATAAGATTTAATAGAATATTTGCAAATTTTAAGCCTTATAGTTTGGAAATCTGTACACATAATTTGCATCAATATTACTGTAGTGTTTTAGTTGAGAAGCAAAAATTTTGATTTTATAATGCTAATAGAGAAGTGTACTTATTTTATTAATTACTAGAGGCCTGGTGCACAAAATTTATATATGGGGATGTGTGAGTCCCTCAGCCCAGCCTGCACTCTCTCCAATCCAGGACTGCTGGCTCACAACTGCTTACCTGCCTGCCTGCCTGCCTGCCTGATTGCCACTAACCACTTCTGCCTGCCAGCCTATTCACCCTCTAACCACTCTCTTGCCAGCTTGATCAATGTCTAACTGCTACCCTCCTCACCTTATTGCCCCTAATTGTCCTCCCTTGCCAGCCTGGTTGCCCCCAACTGTTCTCCCCTGCAGGCCAGGTTAACCCCAACTGTCTTCTCCTGCTGGCCTGGTCACCCCTAACTTCCCTCCCTTGCCAGCCTGATCAACCCTAACTGCCCTCCGCTGCAGGCCTGGTCACCCCCAACTGCCCTGCCCTGCAGGCCTAGTGTCCCCAACTGCCCTCCCCTGCAGGTCTGGTCACCCCAACTGCCCTCCCCTGCAGGCCTGGTTTTCCCCCACCCCCAACAATGTCCTCCCATACAGGCCAGGTCACCCCAACTGCCTTCCTCTGCCTGCCCAGTTTACTAAGTAGTTTACTAAACCAGTAGTTTACTAAGTCTTTGATGCTCTCCTATGAACTAAGTAGTTTACTAAACCAGTAGTTTACTAAGTAGTTTACTAAACCAGTAGTTTACTAAGTCTTTGATGCTCTCCTATGAAACACTTCTCATATAATTTTCTTCTTCTCCATACCTACCTTCACCCAACCTTTATCATCTGACACCAAGATTTATGTAATAAATAAATATTTTAATAAAATACTTTTAGAAGTCTTGATTTATGTTCATATAAGCCAAGAGACACAAATATAAACTCTATTGGTAGATTCTAAAGCTATGGGCACCTATTACAAAAACATAGGCAGCTTCTGTGATGACTTTGGCTTTTTTGAATTGATTTTGATTTTAATATTTTTCTTAGGATGAAATGCAGCCTTATGCCAGCTATACGGAGAAGATCAATCCACTCTATGATACTACAAACAGGGTGAAGACATCTCAGGTGTTACAAAGTGAAGTTGATGGGATGAATCTCCATACTTCATAAGTTACTGGAATCTAGGACCAGGAGAAATGAATCAAGATACAATGCAGTCACTTTTGATTTTCTTGTAGAAAGGAAGACCTGTTTCAAAATTGGATTTTCAAATAGTCTTAGAAGATAGAGATGTTCTAAAGGATTTGCATTAATATCTTTATACAATTGAAATTTTAGAATCTTAGCTGCTAATAGCTAGTTCTCTGAAGAATTGATATTATTACAAAGAAAGGACATGCTCATGATTAAATATTCAAATTGTTCAGTACAATAGGTAATGAAAGCTGGTTTCCTCAATAAATAATTCTGCAGAAGGAACATTCATTAATAGGTTTTATGCATTCTTTCAGAAAATTTCTGTGGATATATAAAAATCCTGATATTTATATATCCATGGTATATGTGAATATTATATGTCTATTTACATATTAGTATATATACATATATCCTTGATGATGCACAAATGAGAAAGTGCTACAATGCTGTTCTGTACTTCTAGAAAGCTAATAATATAATATGTCTTGTAAATCTTTTATCTTTTATCCACATAAGCAGAGCTACCTCATTCTTCTTAATTGTTAGATAATATTTCATTGTATGATTGTGTTGTAATTTAACTAACCACAACTCTTATGATGGACAGTTAAATTGTTTTAAGTCTTGTTTGTTTGTTTTGCTATGATAAACAATACCATACAGTATGTTTCTTCTAGATACGTCTTTGTAGTTGTTTGAGTATATTTATAGCATGATGTCCTTGAGTGGAATTTATAAGTCAAAAGTTTTGTGTATTTTTATTGTTGATTGATTTGTCAAATTATATCTATTTACATTCCCTCCAGCTGTATTTGAATGTGCCTGTCCCCATACTGTTATTTTAATATCCACAAATTCCCACTTTTTATTGTTAATCAACCAGTTAGCTAATCTGATGCAAAATTATAAGAATTATATTATTTAATAAACCAGATTTATATCTATCATGTTTATGATAGAGAGAGAATGAGAACATGTATGAAGACTTTGGCTCATTGTATTCCTCCCTTGCAGGCCTGGTTCCTCCTAACTACCCTCCCCTGGTTGCCCCTAACTGACCTCCTCTGCTGGTCACCCCTAACTGCCTTTCCTTGCTGGCCTGATCAACCACAGCTGTCCTCCTCTGCCGGTCATCTTGTGGTGGCCATCTTGTGTCCACATGGGGGCAGCCATCTTTGATCACATGGGGGCAGCCATCTTGTGTGTTGGAGTGATGATCAATTTGCATATTATGTCTTTATTAGGTAGAATATTCTATTGTGATGTGTTTATCAAATAACAAATGTTTATTGACTATTTAAGTGGCTAAATATGCATTATAGAGGACTTGGAAACCTATAAAATAGGTTTTATGTGCTAAGATAATGGTCCTGAAGTGACATGACCCTCCCCTCTATTTTCTGTGGAATAAAATGTTGGGGCTGTGTATATTAATCTTTTTTAATATTATTAAAATTTATATTATTTATGAAAAAGTAAGTCTGTTTCTCCACAGCAGGAAAAACATTTAAAGTTTTCAGCATGGTAGAAATGAAAACAAAATCCATTCCTTTTTCAATTATGCATCTGAAACATTTAAGACAGTTATTTTGTCTTACTAATGTCCTTTCCTCCCTACAGACATTTTGGTTATTTTAGGCTTTATCTTTAAAACAAATTTTAATCTATTTGGATGAAAAACTTATGTAATAGCACTTGGCACATGATATTTGACTAAGCCATTTTGATACCATCTTGAGTTGGCCCCAAACCCTAATTCATTAAGTTTCCCATATAAATTTTACCAAGCAGTGTAAACAATAGATATCATAACCTGGTCTTGACTTTTTCTTAATTATTCAATCTTCTCTAGTTGGAATGAGGCTCACAGTAAGGTTCAAAAATATCTGTTTAAATATTACTGAAATACAAAACAAAATAAAACTGTGTTTACATTTTCACCTTATAATGTCAAAACAGCCCTGTCAAATGACAATACAGAAAAGATTTCAAGGTGGTTTTTAAAAGCTAAATTGTATAATACAGGAAAAAATGTTCTAAAATCTTCCACTATAGGGTGTTAAGTATAGTTGAACCTATACTTAACACCCTATAGTGGAAGATCAGAATCATGTGGAAGTGGCGGGGGGGGGGGGGAATTGCAGTAGTCCATTTATCAATGGGGGATATGTCCTAAGACTCCCAATAGATTCCTGAAACTGCGGATAGTACTGAATCCCAGATATATTATTTTTTTCCTCTATGTACATACATTTTCATGTAAAAGAAGCACTTTATGGCTTCTCTTTGGCATATATAAATTTGGAGCATTAATACTCTTGTGCTTTGGGCCCATTACTCAGTAAGTTAAGGGTTACTTGAACAAAAGCACTGTGATACGAAGACAGTTGATCTGAAAACCAATATAGCTACTAAGTGATTAACAGGCAGGTAGTCTTGACATCCTAGATACACTGGAAAAAGGGATGTTTCAGGAGGAATGGAGCAGTACAGTTCAAAATTTCATCACTACTCAGAATAGTGTGCAATTTAAAACTTATGAATTGTTTATTTCTGGACTTGTCTATTTAATATTTTTGAACCACAATTGACCATGGGTAACTGAAGTCTAGGAAAGCAAAACCTTGGATAAGGGGGGACTATTGTTTATAGATTCCCCAAATCCACTTTAGACCACTGCATCAGAAAATTTTACAGATTGGACCAGGTGTATCAGTTAGATCCTCAGTCAGCAGAAGGTAAATTAAGTTAGGAGTGACAAAGATTAAATGTGGGAGAGAGGTAACACTTATTAGAGATTAAAGGGGCAGAAGGTAGGATATGGGTGGGAAAACCTTTAGACCATGAAGCTGATCTGAATGACATCTGTAAAAGGAAAGAGGGGAGGAAGCAGGATAGAAGAAGGAAAGCCTAAGATCACTGTATAGAACTGTCAAAGTATTGGCCAAACCAATGATCAACCCTGAAGCAAAGATTGCTTCTAAGAAAAGTTTTTCATGAGCAGAAATGGCCAAATCCTGATACATCATCAAGCTTAGTCATTGGCTGGGAAGAGTTTGACCTCAACTCAAAAGATGAAATATATCCTGAAGGTGTTAACAACATGTGCCCAAGAGCTAGTTACTCTTCTTGCAGTTATATGGTTAGTTCTTTTTTTCTCACCACCTTGACTGCCAGCCCATCCTTTCATTGGCTAGTATTTGCCTAGTCTGTCTTTATCTGTCTCTTTATTTTCAACTTTTCTGTGACACTTTATTTCAGGCACATCTTTACTTTACCTTTTATAAATATAGACAGCCAATTTTTAAAAACCATTTGAGAATTTTAACTTTAAATAAAAGAATTTAAGCCATAAACATTTGTTGTGATTACTTACGTATTTAGTTATATTTCTACAATCTTATTTATATGTCTCATTTACTATGTTTTTTACCCCACCATGTTTTGTTTTTTTTCTTTTACTCTGCTTTGCTGGAATAGTTAATTTCTTTTCTTTCGTTCCATTAGTTTACAAATTACCCATTGTAACACACATATATTAATGGATATGCCTTATTTATGAACACCTAAAACAGTTTTGTTGTGGCATAATTGATACATTTAAGATACACTTGTTAAATTTTGTAAAAATTTAAAGCGTACAATTTGTTGTTTGACATAATTTTACACCCACGAAGCATCAGCCCAGTCAAGATAATGAACTTAGTCATCATCCCCAAAAGTTTTATGTTTCATTTTAATACTACCCAAATGCTGGCGGGATGTGAACGTGTGAGGATGAATGCACAGGCAGGCGAGGCAGAGGCATATACAGAGGGGTGGTGCTAGGTCGGAGGTGCCTGAGAAATGCCAGGCCAACATTTAGATCAGGAACAGCTAGCATTTGTTTTTTTGGACCCTGGTCCTCTCCCCATCTGAGCAAAACAGAAGTCCAGCGCTTGTGCATTGGAGGTACTTGATGGGTTCAAGTAAAATTTCACTTTTGCTTTAATTTCTGCTTCCAGATCGACCCCTAACCCAAGCCCAAGACTACTTGGAAGGGGAGTCATATGAGTGAAGATCTATTTGTATTTTGGTCTTTTTGTGTGCTTTACTCTTAAACATTTTCTACGTTGGTATTTCCTGTATTTCAATGCATACTTCTGGAGGGAGAGATCATGTTTGGATTCTCTCATAAATTACACAACAAATTATCAAACAAAAATACATAGATACACACACATAAAATATAATGCAAGGGAAGTGAAACTACCCAGAAAAAGATTTTGGTATCTATCCTGGTTCTACAGCGCTGTCATTAACTGTGTTAAGATAAGGTACTTAACCTCTCTCCTTCATTATTTACAAAAATGAATGTAATTATACACGCCTCCTAAGAATTGTTTTGACAGTGTCTGGCATATAGCTCAATCGATTACAACAGGATCTGAATTTTGAGTCGAATGTTCATGCTTCTCTGGAGAGAAATAAATGTATAAAAGCACAAACTAGGAAGTTCAGTCATTATCAACTCAGCTCTCCAAACAGGAAATGCTTCTTTTTAAATTGCTCCTGACCAGAAGGAAATACAGTGCAGGAAGAGAGAAGGGGACTTCTCATCAGTGCTTATGGGGCAGAGCAGGAGAAGCAAAAGAGCACAGCTAGGTATATAGGCTGGTGGAAGTAAAACACGAAGGTAAGGACAGAAAAATAAACAGAAGGGAACTCCCTTTGGAAGATGCCTTCACTCTTAAGATACATACTGTTCACATTCCCTCCTCTCCCCCCTCTTTCATAGCTGGTAAGTCTGTTGGGAAAAATAGGGAGTGGGGTGGGGAAAGAATGATGAAAGGTGTTGAGCTAAAGTAAAGGAGATCATGATGAGAAAGATGCTTTAGCTAGTTTTCAACCAGAATTTCCCATGTCTTTAAAATGCTCAATTTTATTTTTCTTTCTAGTTTCCCTGGCTAACAATTTTAGAGCAGTCCTTGTAT